GTTCACTGAGCACCAGGATATTTTTATTTTATCTTTATAATTTTTCTACACCAACATACAACTTTTTTAAAGTTTAAATCAATTTATGAACTTAATTAATTCAGAAAATCCCATTTTTTAACTTAACCACGAAAAAACTTTGATAAAACCATAATAATACTGCAAAACTTCGCAAATAAAATGGTAGAACAACGCAAATAACCCCGGGATATTACTGAAATACAATGCAAATATAACGACACAAATAAAATGACAGAACAATGTAAATAACACTCAAATACTAACAGAATACTACGTAAATAACATGGGCACTATTCATCATCCCAAATGTGCTAGAATACATAAACCGTTCAACTTTAAACCTTATGATCTCTCTCGATTCTCAACAAAATTAAGTACAATTTGTTCCTACACCTTCATCCAAGTATGAAGAACACATCTATATGGCTACTTTATCATGGCACACAAATTTTATTTACAAAGGTCCAAACCGAGATTAAAAAAATAGAGTTTACAGGTCAGTACCTTTATCCAAAAGGTAAGGCCTCGATTGAATGGTTGTAGAAGCTTTACTTGAGTCCCACGAACTTGCTACAAGCACTAGCTTTCCCTAGTGATAGGTTCAAGTATAAACTTGACAAAGTGGTGGTTCGACCTTGGTCTAGAGGTGGTTTGAAGGGCTCGGGAAGGACAAGTTTTGATGTAGGATAATGTTCAAATGTCTGGTGAGGCTTTTGGGATGGTTTAATCAACGTTTTGATGTGTTTTATGAAGAGCCCAAAACAATTCCTGATTTTGGATTTCAAAATTAGGGCTTGGCAGTGAGGAGGAGTGGCTGAGGAAGTGGGGGATGGGTTGTTGAGGCTTGCAAGAGGGTTTGAGAGACTTTTGGCAGAGCTTCGCCAAGGTGCTGATGAAGTCCTTCTCTTTGGCCATGGATGGGGTTGTCTTTTATTGCAAGGTTAAGGGGAGAGGAGGTAAGAGAATCCCTGCGGAGTTCACAAATTAATAGGGGACAAATTAGTTTGTATGGTGAGCAAAAATTTAGGGAAAAAGAAGAGCCTTTTTATTCTTTGAATGCTTCAACCAAGCAGGTTGGAAGGATGGGTTTTACCAAAGGTGGGAAGTCCACTCTTGATGTTCCAAGGAATGGAGTGGATGGGACTTCATAAAGGAGAAGCTTTGGTAGAGGGCAAGGAACAAGGTCAACTTGTCCTTTATCGTGTGCATATAAGCTAAGTTAAGCAGCGAAAAAATTTGTCTAGGTGTTATTGAGGTTGTATTTTAGAGTTATTGGCGTGCTAATGCAATTTTGTAGGGTAGTGTTATTGGCGATTGTATTGTGGGAGTACTGAGGTGTTACCGCGGTTCCACGCGAAGGGTGTTATTGAATATTGTATTGCGGGAGTACCTCGGTGCTATTGCGTTAAATTGACAAAAATCGGGTATATTTCTCGGTGATTCGGTGTTATTGTGCGGTTTACTGCTGCGGCTGGTAATGGTGTTTTTTGTATGGGCTATTTTTGTGTTATGACATTATTATCACAGAATAGTGGTGTAGTTTGGAGGTAGTGTTGAGGGAATTTGGATGGTGGGGTTATTTTTCTGGGGGTGGCTATGGTATTTGGTGTTATTGGGGGTATTTTGGTGTTATTGACTTGGGTTTAGCCAAAATCAAGCCCGAAATCAAGCCCAAATGGACCTAAAATCCTTTCCTAACCCAATTTAACTCATATTCACATGACAAAGCATAATTGGTGACGTGGTGAACCTTTAGGCTTGGTCAATTTAACAAAATTCAATTCAAGATTGGGATTTGATGGAATTAGGTTGGATTCAAGGTTGATTTGGGTTTGAGTTTGCCAATTTTGGATTTGGGATTGGAATTGAAGGAAATTGGGTTGGGTTTTGGATTAAGCTTAGTAGATTTTGATTTGGGACTTGAATTGAGAAAATTTGAATTGGATTTAGGGATTTTCGTAGTTTTGGTGAAACTTGAGTTTGGACTTAGGCTAATTTTGGGATGCTTTAAGTAAATTAAGGTTAGGGTGGTGGTGTGAGTGTGAAGAATGGGAATGATGGGGAGTGTGGTGGACAAGGCAACCTAGGGTCTCAATGGCCCTATAGGGACTCTCTTTGAGTTCCCTCATGTCAGTCTCAACCTCCTAAGTGCTAGAGCTAAAAAAACCACACATGTAAAATTCCAAGAAGAGCAAGGAAGTGGTTTGAACTTCTAAATTGAGGTGGGTCCCATCAATAAGGTTATAGGATAATCAAAGAGGAAATCTTATGGTGAGATCCAAAATCCTAAGAATAAGACTAGACCTCATAAAAAATGAGGTGAACAACACCCTTACAAAATGTGGAAGAAGATGAAAAAGATAAGGGGGAAGGAAAAGGGAAGGAGGAGGAAGAAGAAGAAGATGAATGAGGGGGAAGAGAACCCATCCTCCCTGTTGTCTCTCCGAGAAGCTCTTCCAAAGCACCTCCATGGCTTCCAAAAGATCTCCTTCAAGAGCTCTCCCCTAACCCTAGCCGAAGAGGACGAAGGAGAAGGAGACGGGGTGGAGCCGAGTCCCTCTCAGACAAAAATCAAAGCCAACGAAAAATGAGAGGGAGGGGTTAGGTTAAAAAATAAGATATTTTATAGCATTCTCTACTTCCATGTTCAAGCTCAATTAAATATTATTTCAATTGTAAAAAATATATAGAAATTGAGTGGTATGTATGCATATCTCCCTGATTTTTTTTCATTCTTCGTGTCAAGCTCTTGTTCATACGCATCTACTACTTTCTTGTTCAAGCTCAATTAAATGTTGTTTCAAATGTTCCATATTCGGCCTAGAAGTAACTTCTCAGGTTTAATTATGTGATGTTGAGCTAAACTTAAATAACTGAAAAAAATGACTTCCTGTTATTGAACACCCAGATCAAAAAAAATTAAATTTTAAAATCATGATTAATAGAATGATGAATATAAGTATCAATAAACTATTCGTTTGACTCATGTAACTATGTAAATTCAACAAGATATAATTTCTCAATTCAATTCAAAGAAGCCTTATAATTTTGGACAAGAGTTTATTTGTCTTCGCATTGTACACAAATAAACAAAAAATCTTCTCTTTTAAATATAAATTCTAACATTGATTAAATATTATTTATTATTTCAAAATGCAAATTAACCACAAATGTGCAATTGTGTAATCACAATATCACATGAAGTTTCATTTATTTCTCAAGTTGTAGCAAGAAGAATCTCAAATTGTATAACCAAATAGAATTAAAATATAAAGCATTAAAGACAATTTCACATTTTATATGATGAATGACAACTTAAGACCTAGAAATTTATAGTACAATCTAAGATGAGGTACACAAAATCACACAAAAAATTGATAAATTTGTAGTAAATTTTATTTAACTAGTTCATCTCTTTCATGAATGTATAAAAATAAAATCATACTGGTTAAAATGACCTCTATATTATTTTTAAGGAATTGTTTTAGTCCCAAATTATAAATGTATTCAATTTAGCTCTTTGCCTCTTGAAATGTGATCCCATGCAGTCCACACTTACAAAACAATTGTAAATTATGTAGATGAAAAGTGCCCAAGAAATAAGCTGTCAAATAAAGCTTCAAGTTCCTTTGTCAAACCCCCCCTTCCCCCCCCCCAAAAAAGTTGTCAATCTACCCTTACACCGCACTCAAAAAGTTTAAAAAATAAGCAAAGATAAAAACAATAAACATAAAGAACAAGAGAACCAACTACTATAAGAAAAAAAAAAGCATGGAGCAGTTGTTGAGCTAAAAGACTAACAATGCATCAAACTAGACAAACATAAACATTTGAGAACACAACTTGTTCTCTATAGAGATGAACATCCTAGGCATGTTTACAACAAAACAAAATTAAAAAAATATATGAAATAGAAATAAACTTCAACACAACTAACATAGCATCAATACAAATTTTCAATTTTCTCATCACATTGCTCACGTCTTATGTTGTTAAAGGGTATGAGCTTCGATTTATGCATCAAATCTACCATCTCGAAAAAAATTTGATTGCCATGAATTGAGTGTTTCATATTCACTAAGTATATTTGCACATAAATATTACACTTCCGATAAAATAAGTAATGAATCATAACAAACATGAATTGGATGAAATATATAATGATGACCATGGGTAAATTGTTGAAGAAGGAACCCCTTCTGGATCATCAAATCTGTGCAAATGCGATCGCCATACAAGGCCCGAGGGAGCTCGCAGGTTCTTTTTGCGACCAAACCAGAGACTCGAAAATTCTTCATCACTGCTTCTTTTTGTGACCAGACTACACTCGATGTCACTTCGTGCAACTAGTGACCATACACAGCATGAATGGTAATGCGTGTGGTGACGAATGACCAACAAGACTTGGAATGACCTTAAGTAGCAACCATGGAGATGAGGGAGCTGTTTCCTACGAGTGGTGTAGGCAAATGGGATGGCAGTTTCAAAAAAAAAAAAGAAAAGGATTTGGTTTGATTGTTCTGTAAAAGATACAGAAGATGATTTAACCTTGATTTACCTAAATCTTGTTAGACGGTCAACTTGGACAAAATGAATACACAGATTTCATAAATCTAGATTCTATATATTTCGACTGTAAACTCCGATTTACTAAATCCCACGAACTACTAGATTTAACTTTGCTGGTTTGGATTTAATACTATTAGGATAAATCCGTTGTCAGACAATATTTGGATTTAGCCCATTCAGAATTTAGTAAATTCTAATTTATAGAATTTATTAAATCTTAATAACTTAAATCTCATCAGTTGCAGAGCATCTGAAATATAGAATTTTGGTGTCCAAAATATTATTTTTAATTTTTAGATAATTGTTCTGTAAAAATTCAAATATTTTTATGACATGAGTTTGAGTTTCCCATGCATTAAAGGGTGATATTCATAATTTTTTACATTGCTTATTGTTGAAGTCCAATCGCCTGGCGGGCGCTGCTCATACCATGCGCCGTCGGTGCTAATGGCGGGGAAGTGGGGGCAGGCAGTATATGGCATTTACAGAGCGGCGGGTCGAGCCATATCCCCATTTTTATACATTCACTGGCGGAGGCTTCGCGGCCTGGAGCACCAGTCCAGATGGCCGGAGCGCTTCGGCCGCCCTACGGCCCCGCGTCCCCCTGGCCCTCTCATCTGGTTCCATGCCGTTTCTTTAGGTGTTCTGTCTTCCTTCTCTTCGTTCTCTCTCTCCCTCTTTAGGTGTTCCGGCCCCTCTTTCTTCTAATTTGAAGTTTGGACTTTTAGGTGAAGGGCTGGCCATCATCCCCGTGATCAAGCACTGCCTGCTGGAGAACCCTAGTCTTCTTGTATTGATGACGACCACGACGGTTTCAGCTTTGTAAGGACACATTCTCTCGTTTATCTATTCCTATATGATGGAATATCGTGAGGGTGAAGATTGGGTAATTTGGTGGGGAGTTATTAATTCCAAGAAGGCTGTTTTGAGATGATGCAATTAAGTTGTAAATGATGTGTAGATGGACGCAGTTCCCATTTTCATTTATTAATCAGTCCGGTTGGTGATTGGTGGAATGGTCTGCATTCTGAAACTTAGAGCCACTTGGAGTACGGGAGGGGGTCTTCTGTGATGGTTAGTCTGGATTCATGCTGGGGAATTTGCGTTCATGGAATAGAACATGAAATTTGTTTGTTTTGAAGCAAAAATGCTACGTGAAATAAATCCCTGCAAGTTGAAAGCAGTTGATTTGGCTGTATACCCTGCGTCACAAGTTGCCAAGAAAACATACGATGAAGTAGCTGTACAAGTTTTTTTCAAACCAAATATAGCAAAATTATTCGCTTGAAACCACCTTACTTCAGTTCATGTTTTCACCAAACTGAACAACCATACCACCTTAGTCATGCCGATGAAAGTTTTTTTCTAAATATAGATATTGTTAGCTCTTACACTTAGGATCCGTTTGGGGCGGCAGTACGATAAACTATATTTTGACAGCTTTTTCAAAAAGCTTCCCCTGAAATCTGCGTTTTCCCATTACTCTTGGTTAGCTGCGGTCGGACTTAAAAAAAAATTTGTAATAACCACCGTAATTTTTTGAGCATCAGATTATTATTCAACAGCTTCACAATTATTTTTTAATAAGTCGCAACAGTCCCAAACAAACCTTTATACTATAGAACATGGGTAGATTAATGCTCAACCTGCCATCATTTTTGGTTGGGCTGGTACAATTGAATTTAACATGGTCCATTTTTTTCATTGTCGTGGTGTGTACATTAACGAAAGCTGACTTCTTTTGCAGTGAGGTCATCAAGAATAGGCTTCCAAATAGTGTCATCTATCAGGTATCCTTTTTTACTGTTTTTCTTTTTTCTATACACACTAATAGCTTTTTAAGTGTAATGCATCAACTTAACAGATTAAAATAATATATTTTTATCCTTATATGAAAATTGCTTCTCGTAATTTCTTAGAAGTTAAATGACAGGCTCATGAGGTTTTGGTCACCTTTCACTTTTGCCCACAAGTTTTGGAAACACGATTCTTGTGGTCTGCTGCATTTCAAAACCTTGCTTATGGTTTGTGTTTAGTTTCGAGAATTTGTCAGATCATTGCAGGGCAATACCATCAGCATTTGGCCATCAAATTCTAGTCATGTGTTGTTTCATTTAGTGATGATTTAATTATAGTGAATATTGACTGATTCTGTTTTCTAATATTGCTTCTGATTCTTGAGGTTTGTTATTAGTATTTGTTGGATCCTTGTGATTGAGTTTAAACCTTTGTTGGATTGCTGGAGGTAGATGAGTTTGTAATGGAGACATGTGCATCAACATGGGGTTGATGGATCCATGGATGAGGGATGGAGGAAGAGAGAAAAAGCATATGGATGAGGAGAGAGGGTAGAAAGAGGGAAATAATAAGTGGGAGATGAAAAACATAGAAAAGCAGAGAGAGAGAGGATGGGGGGCAGGACAGCATACGGGTGTCACTGGCGATCCACTCCCCTAGCCTTCTCACGTTGTTTTGCTAAGAGTGAATGAAAATGCTTCCACTCCGATCTAACATTTAGAAGGAGAGTTTAGAGGAAGAATTTGGTATAGGAGAGTTAGAGATGAAGTTGGAACAATTAAGTCACTGCTTTTATTTTTTATTTTTTCAGTGATTAGATCTTTTTGATCTCTGATCACCACTTTTTTGGGCAAGGAATCACTTTGCATGGAAAATAATTATAAAATATTAATGTGCTGATATTTTTTGTAATTTTCAGGAAAATGACATAAAGAAGGATAGAAATTTTTAAGCCCAATTGGTCAAATATTATTAAGTTATAGAACAGAATGTAAAGCTAAGTTTCAAGATCCTATATGCAATTTATTTTAAACTTCATTAAACCCTCCAGCATCTTGGTATCCCGAACAATTGAAAATAAGTGCGCAAATTGTATCATATTTCTAGTCATCTAAAATTTAAATTTTGAGGCCGTTATCAGTTATTCTTGCACTACTTGGAATTTTAATTATTTACAGATTATCTGGTTTTTTATTCTCATTCACCTTTTTTTCTGATCCCTTAAATTTTTTTTTTTTGTAGTTTGCTCCAGTTGACACCCCCATGGCTATGGAAAACTTTCTTGTGTACTGGAACCCTATTGCTGTGATTCTTATGGAAAGTGAAGTTTGGCCAAATCTCATTATTTCTGCCTCAAGAAAAGGAGTAAGTTATGAAATTAATGTATTTGTAATTTTGAAAATGAATGGAACACGGAGATAAGATGCTTAGCTGTAAATGATTTTAGCTTACCTTTTCACTTAATGCCGACTTTCTTATAAAATTGTTTTTAATCTTGTTAGTAATTTTACTTTTCATCTTCACTTCAGATTGAAGTTGCATTATTGAATGCTAGAATGTCTTGCAATTCTTTCAAGCGCTGGTCATTAAAGATATCACGTCCTCTGATATCTTTGTTGCTATCAAAATTTTCTCTCATTGTCGCATTGGTAAATGATTCTGTTCTCGTAGCCACTCAGATATTTATATGGAAAACAGTTCTGACATTTCTTATATTGTTCCCAGAATACAGCTCAAGCAGTTCGTTATCAGTTGTTAAATGCACCACCATTTATTATAAATTTTGCAGGTGATTTGAAGTATGGTAAGATTGACTCCTGTTTACGTTGCTTTCAAGTTTGTTGAATTTATTGATGGATCATGCGTGTTTTTAATTATGTATTTTCCAGATAGAATTTCGATCTTTTTCTAAAATCATGAATAAAATTTCTTATTTTTTCCCCTAAAATGTAAGATTTTAAGTGCCCTCAGCATCATGTGAAATTTCTAAATTTGAAAAAGAGAGGCAGGGAAATATAGTTGCTTTATTTCTTTTTTTAGCAGTTGGAGGTCTCCAACTTTCTCAAAGTGAGAACAAAAGCATCGAAGGTCTTAAGCTGCAACTGAATGATAGGCCAGTTTGGATGGCTGCATCCATACATAAAAGTGAAGCAGAAGGTCAGAAATGTCACTTAGTTATTTTATATCTCTGTATAAATGTTGTGGATTGTATTTTATGCTGCTGTGGATAAAAATGCCTCTGTTGCACATCTCTTATTGTTTAAATACAAGTGCCTATAATAACAAAAAGCCTTTATCTCACTAAGTGGGGTTGGCTACATGAATCCTTTTTCTCCATTTTATCCTATTGAGTGTCATATTTTCATTTAATTCTAATAAATTAAGTTCAATTTTTATACAACATTTCCTAGTCTTTTTAGGTCTGTCTCTAACTTTCTTAGCATAAGTCAAATATAAAACAACTATTTCCTAACTTTATAATCCAATGATCGACATTTAATGTGACTAAACCATCTAAGACGATTTTCTCTAATTTTGGCTTCCACTGTTGCTACTCCAACCCTTCAACTGATATTTTTGTTTTGCATTTTGCCTCTAAGTGTAAAACCACTCATCCACCTGAGCATTCTCATCTCAGCAACGCTTAATTTAATTGTATATTTCTCTTTTACCTGTCATCATTCTACACCATAAAATATTGGATGACTTACCACCATCTTATAAAATTTTCTTTTAAGTCTAAGTGCTCTTTTTTTTGGCACAATAGGCCAGATGCATCCCTCCATTTCAACCATCCAATATGAATTCTACTAATAAAATCCCCATCTATATCACCATCACCTTCAACAGTAACCCCGAGATATCTAAAACTTTCACTTCTTTTAATGACTTGATGACTCATACCCATAGTTTCAACCCGACCACTTGATCTAGTACTAATAAAATTACATTGCATATATTCAGTTTTATATTTACTCAAAAGAAAGACTTTAGATTATAAATTTAACATCCATAATTTAAGTTTTTTTTTTGAACTTTCTCTCTAATCTTATCCACAATAAGGATATCATCAGCGTAAAGCATACCCCAAGGTATATCTTTCTATAATGTCTAGTAAGAACATCCATAACTAAAATAACAAGATATGAGCTTAAAGTTGATCCTTAATGTAATCCAACTAAAATAAAAAAATATATACTTGGTCAATCCTCCTTGTGTTCGAACACAACTCACAACTATGGTATACACATTTTTAATAATTTGAATATAATTAACATCAACACATTTCTTTTCCAGAATTCTTCGTAGTACTTCTCTTGAAACTTTATCACATGCTTTCTTAAAGCAACAAAAATCATATGTAGATCCTTCTTACTCACTCTATACATCTAAATCAAACCTCTCAATAATGTACATATATAGATACATACATATACATACATACATATACATACTATATATAGACACGCACACGCACATACACGCACGCACACACACACATATATTTATGCATGTATACATGCACATGTATGTATATATGTATATATGTATGCATGTATATACATATATATATTTATATTTATATTTATACACACATAACACGTAACACATGTGCATGTACATATATATAGATATACACACACACATACACACACACACACTATATATATATACATATATATGTATATATATATA